GGGTCAAGAAGAAGAAGAAGAAGAAGAGGAGGAGGAAGAAGAAGATGAAGAAAAAGATGGGAGGGGGGTGCGAAAGGGTGGGCGAGAAGAGGAAGAAGATGAAGCTGGAAGATGGGCAAGGGGTGAGAAAGCGAGGGCGAGAAAGGATGGAGGGCGGGGGCTGAAGGGTGGGAAGAAGAAGAAGAAGAAGAAGAAGGGGGGTGGTGTAGGAGACGCGGCCCAACACGCGCGCGCACGAGGCAGATTAAAAAAAGAAATTGGAACTGGTGATCGCTGATGGCGGGCAGGGGGGGCAAGAAGAGGAAGAAGAAGAAGAGGAGGAGAAGAGGAGGAAGAAGAAGAAGAAGAAGAAGAAGAAGAAGAAGAAGAAGAAGAAGAAAAAGTAGAAGAAGAGGAGGAGGAGGAGGAGAAGAAGAAGAAGAGGATAAGAGGAGGAAGAAGAAGAAGAAGAGGAGGATAAGAGGAGGAAGAAGAAGAGAGGATAAGAGGAGGAAGATAAGAGGAGGAAGAAGAAGAAGAAGAGGATAAGAGGAGGAAGAAGAAGAGGAAGAGGATAAGAGGAGGAAGAAGAAGAAGAGGAGGATGATAAGAGGAGGAAGAAGAAGAAGATCTCTCTCTCTCTCTCTCTCTCTCTCTCTCTCTCTCTCTCTCTCTCTCTCTCTCTCTCTCACCGTGGCGCGCGTCGGGGGGCGTCAGTGGGCAGCGCGATGGTGTTCTTCGCCGGCGTCGGGGGGGCGTCGACTGCGTTGGCGGGCGCGGGCTTCGAAGGCGACGACGAATGCACCCGTCGGCCGAAGTGAGGCGTCGGCTCCGGCATAGTGAACAATCGGGCGGGAAACTAGAAGCAACAAATGAAAAAAAAGGGCCGGTAGGCCCAATTTGAACTATTTCAATCTCTCTCGTACTAACACACTCACCGTGGCGCGCGTCGGGGGGCGTCGGCGGGCAGCGAGATGGTGTTCTTCGCCGGCGTCGGGGGGGCGTCGACTGCGTTGGCGGGCGCGGGCTTCGAAGGCGACGACGAATGCACCCGTCGGCCGAAGTGTGGCGTCGGGTCCGGCATAGTGAACAATCGGGCGGGAAACTAGAAGCAACAAATGAAAAAAAAAGGGCCGGTAGGCCCGATTTGAACTATTTCAATCGCGGCCCATCTGGGCCGTCGATCCTGGAGATCGACGGCGCAGATGGGCCCCGATTTGAAATTGTTCGAATCGGGCCTACCGG